TACAGCAAAACACCTGAGAAAATCCACTTAATAAGAAGTGAGGTTTATTCTGGCTCAGGGTTTCAGTCCATGCTCCGCTGGCATTGGGGCCTGAGGGCTGGCCAAGCATCACAGCAGGGGACGGGTGGAGGAGGACAGCCACTCACCTCCTTGTAGTCAGGAAGCACAGGGAGAGACAGGAAGGGCCTGGCTTCCAGTGTTCCTTTGAGGTCACACTCGGTGACCTCAGTTCCTCTCACTAGGTGCCCCCTTGAAAGGTTCTACCATCCTCCCAAAGCACTGCAGGCTGGTGACCAAGCCTTCACCACGTGGACTTCTGGGTGGCCTGGCAGATCTAGCACTGTTACTATTTTCTCTTGTTCTGTCCCAGCTTCAAGGAAAGTGACCTTGAAATGGTTGGCCTGCCTTGTGCTCTCTATTCCTATATCCCTTAGCCTTTTCCTGTCTGTGAAAACCAACCTCCTCTGCCCAGCCAATGGGGAAACTTACTCTATTTTATGGGATGAAGTGCTGTCAGGTTCTAAAATTAAAAAATCAAGCCAATCCAGGTTTTAAAACTAAATTTGGTACAGTTTGGTTCTTTTGTCAGTAGTTTCTAGTTTCTGTTGGGCTCCCCTTTGTTTGCATAGTAATTTAAATTATGATAGTTTCCCAAAGGATTTTCAGTAAGAATTTGTTTTAATGACTCAAAATTAAATATAAGTTGAACTGTGGCCAGGGAAGACCAACTCCCTTCCTGCAGTGGGAGTCTGTCTTCCTGAGATCACTTCCTTTGTTAGACTTGCAAGGTGTGACCCGAGCATCTCCTGGAGCATTGCTGTGTGCTTTAATTCTGGCGAATTCTACACAGACATCTTGAGGTCTTCCCCGTACTACATACTGTGGGAAAGATACAGCTAATCTGAACATTGTTCCATTCTTCAGAGAGTTTAAAATATATTTTGAAAGCAAAATAATCCCATACATGATGTAGGTGTGTAGAGCAGTTTCCGTTTTGAAACGTTCTTAATCCACTCACATATTTGACTTTTCCAGCTTTATGGAGATATGAGTAGCAACTAAAAATTGTATCTATAGAATATAGTGGAATATGATAGGCTATTTTGACATGCATTGTGCTGTGGATGGGGAATGGTTCCCACAGCAAAGCTAATCAACAAACCTGTCACCTGGCAGTTTCCATTGTGTCTGAGAATCTGTGTGCACAGGTGTGAGATCAGAACATCTAACACTCTATCAACAAATCTCAAGTGATTAATTCTGTTATTAACTTTAGTCACCATGATATACTCGATAGCTCCTGACTCACCCTGAGTACTGGAACCTCGAACCCCTGACCAACATCCTCCTATGTTCTCGCATCATCAGCCCCAGGAGACCAACCTTCCACTCTCCCTGCATCTGGGCCTTCAGCTACTCTGGGTCTCACCTCTAAGTAAGGTGGTGCAGTCTTTGTCTTTCTGTGTCTGCCTTAGAATTTAGCATATCGCCCTCCACGTTCACTGATGGAGTTACAAATGCAGGATGCTACGTTTTCTTTACCCATTTGTCAATGGTGGACACAGGTGGATAGCCCGTGGTTGACCATAGTGAAGAACGTGGCTGTAAACATGGAATACAGATATCTCTCTGACACACTGAATTCATCTTCTTGGATGTATAGGCAGACGTGGAGTCACCAGATCATATGGTAGTTCTAATTTTAATTTTTGGAGGGGATTTCATACTGTTTTCTATGACTTCTGTACCAATTTGTGTTCCTACCAACAGTGTGTAAGAATTTCTTTTGTCGGTATCACTAATGCTTACCTGATTTGTATTTATTTATACTTGCTGTCTTAAAACGACAACTCAAAGCCACACCCAAGGCAAAACCTCTTTCTACAAAAATGAAATTGAGAATGCAAGGTTCATAGTTTTTCTAAGATCAAATGAGACACTTTTCTAAAACAAATGCAGATAGTAAGTGACAGAATTTAGGTTCTTGGTGACACAGAGATACAAACATGAGGAAATAGACAGATGATAACTTCAAAGGCTCAGGAAAGGGGTGCTGAGCTGGGCACCTACACTAAGTTGAGAGACCAACACAAGCAAAGGCACAGCGAGAAAACCCACAACATGGCAGGGACCAGCTCCGTGCAGACGAGGGGCAGGGGTAGAGTTTTAAAGGAATGAACAGGATTGGAGCTATGCTTGTCCTGAATTCCAGGACTATTACTCATGCTCAATGGAGTCGACCAAACCTCTCCAAGGCTACAATACTGTGTCACTGTCTCTTAGTTTCCTAGAATCCAGGCTGATTCTTGGCACGCTAACCAAAACTCCCCTGCACATGTTTATTAAACAAATGAGAGGAGCTCTGGAATTAGGAATATGCTGTTGGTGTGTGGGTGAATCTGAGCCAGAGGTGAGGCTGCAGGAAAGGGAAATTTATATCAGAGAACTTGGATGCACTGTGTTTGTACAAGAAAAAGAATAATGGATTTTGTCTAGGAAGTAACTGGGGTCAAAGGGAGAAAAGAACATAAAAACAAACGGTTTTTTCCCAGGCCTTGAGCTACAACTGTGTCTTTTGTGACCCCTTGAAAAGGGGAGTTTTCTATGTCCCCTCTTTCCTCTCCACTTCTGGACTTTGATTGTCTGTTCTCAGTCTCCTCACATGCCCTGTGAATACAGCAAATAATCTGCAACACTCGTTCTCTGGGTTGCTCCGGGTCTCAGATACCTTCTCCTTGGGAAAGGTCCTGTCTGGATGGGACTCCTGACCCTGTGCCCCAACCTCTGTGCAGAGATGGTGCTGTCGCTTCTGTTCCATACTGACTCAACTCCTTTCCTACTAGCCATTTACAAACTGCACCCCCTTTTACTTCTGCATGCACAGCTGCCTTCCCACCCACACCGGCCTTGCTGGTAAGCAGGTCACAGAATTTCCTGTAGCAAAATGGGGTGAAGGGTCAGCCCTTCCCGGTGAGATGGGGTGCTCACGCTTCCCGTCGGTTTCTCACCCCCACACACACCTTGACAGAGGACAAAGGTGAGGGACCGTTAGAAGCAGTGACACAGAGTCACACTGGGACCTCACAGGCTAAGTAGCGCTTGGGGAACCACAGGAAAAGCCTGTTTGAGTGTGCCGTGGCCGCGGCTGTGGCCGGGTCGGGCAGCCTCTGTGAAAAAGCATTTGTGCATCTTCTCACGTCGTTTTTCCCAGTCAGGACCTCCCGGCCTCTTTCGGGTCCTCCGTCTACTCTCGCTTCTGTGTCCCTGGTCGCCCACGTCTAGCTTCCGGTAGGTTAGTGACTCAGCTGTCCTTCCACAAACGCACTCTGGACCCTGCAGCCCCCGTCTTGGCCCACACACCCAGCCGCAGATGCTTTTATCGGTGCATGTTAACCATGCAACATAATTGGCTTTCTTGAGGCGCTTTCACAGTGCACATAACTTGCGCTGAACATGTTTTCTGGCTCCCATGCCCTTCCCCGCCCCCAGCCCCGGCTCTCCTCCTCTGCTTCGGTCCTCCCTCTTCTATGTTCGGGTTTCAGCCTCTCTTTGTGATCTTAGGTTTCACATTATACAGGAAACCAGAAATACTAGTCTTTCTGAGTCTGGTTTATTTAGCTTAGTGTGATAATTACCAGTTCCACCCATTTTCCTGCAGATGACATTATTTTGCTCCTCTTCGTGACCAAATAGTGCTCCATGGTGCACATATACTTCCTTCATCAGCTCGCCCGTCGGCAGGCACCTGGGCCGACTCGGTGCCTCAGCTTTGTGACCTGGGCTAGGATGAGCACCGGCCTGCAGTGGTCTCCGCGGAGCCCACTGTCATTGTTTGGGGTGCAGAGGCAGGAGTGGTAGGGCTGGACTGAGCCTCAGCTCTGTTTTTAGTTTCTGAGGCACCTTCCTACTGGTTTCCACAGCGCCAGATTCTGCTTGGCACCATCTTTGTTCGATGCCCGGGGATATCTACATTTTCCTCTGCCTCAGCCTCCCCGCAAGTGTGCAGCAGAGCCTCCGTGTGCTATTAGGGTCTTCCCATTCCGAGTCTCTGGCTGCAGGCAGTGCGGAGACAGACCCTGCACCGTCTGACTGGAGCAATCTCACCCGCAGGGTGAGCGTCTGTGTAAGAATCTGAACACAGGGCTTCTTGCCCTCGCCTGCCTGGAAGTCTTGAGGGTTCCATTCCCATAAAGACCAGCTGGTCTTTCTCTGATAATCTGGTAGGATGCAGTTGGTTTCCCTTTCGTATAAGCTGGGCTATTTGTTACAGCCCAGACTCTTTTGTACTAAGTGTTATTTTCACTTTGAAGTGGCAGAAAATATACCAATGACAAGACCTCCTAGAATTTAAAAATTCTTCAATGATCAGGTATAAAACCAATCACAGGATCAAAGTTGTGGGATGAACTCTTTCCCGAGAAGCTGGGAAACTCTCTATGGACAGCTATCAAGCAACACATCGGTATAGGTAGCTGCCAACATAGAAATTCTGCTAGTGACCAGCTAGCAACTACTCAGTTATTTAAAATTAAATTGACTTTCATCTTAAACCAGATGCAGGGTACAGGAAACATGAATTTTCCCCAGTTTCCATTCCATTTTCACTGATGGTTTACAAGAAGATACATACCAATCTGCCTCCTGCCAGGGCTGGGTAACTGATGTACATTGGCTTAGGGCACAGATGGGGACTAGGTAGGCAGGTGGCCAGAACAGGACCTATGGGGTGGCAGGATGGGGCTTATCGTGGTCCTCAAAATGGATCTCTAAGTTAAACTATTAAAATTACTTCCTGGTGAGCTCACTGTGCGCAGTCATGGAGATAGACTGACACTCTAAAAAGATAAACAGTGGGTATGCTGGCAGGTCTTGCAGGCCCGGCCACCTGGGTAGCTGAGGCAGGGGGATCACTTGAACCCAGAAGCTTTGAGGCCACTCCTGGGCCACACAGTGAGACCCTATCAAAAAAAGAAGACCAAAGAAAGAGTTAGACACCACAGTTTCATCATAAAATTAAGTTCATGTTGGTTTAAAAAAAAAAACGACAAATCATTAACTCAGCACTAGCATGATTGCTTTGCATTGAATTTCTTAAAAAGTACCTAGTTGTTCAATGTAAAAATTTACAGCATGCCACAGTGCTGGGCATTCCTTCATTCTTCATCAGACAGGAGACTTCAAAATGGCAATGGGCAGACCCCACAGGAACTCCCGTAGACTTCTCACTCTGGCTCAGGCCCAGGAGACAGTGGCATCTGGAAAGCTGGCCACAGGGCCCACAGCTCGGGCCCCAGGGCTGCCTTCTCTTTTCCTCCAAGTGGACAACAAGCTTATCTATGAAAAGATCAGAGGGTGGACATGACGCCCAGAGCAACAGACCACAGAGAACTGCCGGCCTCGGGTCGCAGAGACGCATTGGAAGGAGACAGCCATGTGCAGTCTTGCTCTTGGCAGTGTGGAAATTCCCTGTCCCTTTGACAAAGCCAAGACCGGCTTTTCCAGAGCAGCATCCAAGAGCATGGCCCGTCACTGCTCCAGCCTGTGAGCAAGTCCTTGGTGCAGGCAGTGAGGAGGGCACCAGGGCAGCCAGGGTGACCGACAGCCTCAGAGAAACGTTCGCCGCACACCCATGCTACCTTTCTTTGTCCAGCACAACAGGACGCAGGCCATTCTGTCCAGGCCAGGCTTCCTCTTCACAAGCTCATTCCCACTGACCGCTTTGCTGCATGTCTGCTTTCCCCTATCACAGTGCGTGATGTGTGTGACCCCGCCTAACAGCAGAGAAAACCCGCAGATACAGGAGCCGTTCTTGAGATTCTGAGCCCAGAACATAAGGCCGTGTGCACTTTCCTTACTATATGCTGTGATTCTCCCGACAGTGTTAGGAAACTGTCCTAAAATACACTGCAAATTACAGCAGCAGTAAATTTGAATTTAGATTAAGAAAGAAAATGCCTTTTCTAGCCTTGGAATCTTGAATGGCGGTTTCCAAACAGTTCCTGAAGTTCATCAACACATACATCTCCACCTCCCAGGGCCCCCTGTTGGCGCTTGCTTGCCTTTTGAACCCTGAGCAGCCCTCGGGAGGGTCAAACCTAGAACCTGGTTCTCCGTCCTCACCTAACCTGCAGCGGACCCTGTGGCCCATTGTATGCACGCCCTTATGAGCCTCGCCCTGACTTCAAACACACTTACCCACTGCTCCTACCACTTTCCGGAGCATTTCTGCAAGACCCCTTTCATGAGTGTCTTTAGGGGGAGTGCCAGGGCTGCCTTAGTGTCCAGAATCAATGTGAATGTTGCGCTTTGATAACCATCCTGACTTCGGGGAAGAGCCCAAAGTACTACAGCACCAAATCCAGTGAATAAGGGAGAGGACACACGTCCTGGTTTTGTGATCCTGTCTTTCCACCCATAACACCGGGCAGCAGCATTCACTGTATTTTTGGTCACACCTCAAAAAGACACTCATGAAAGAGGACTTCCAGACCTGCCTCGGACTGTAGCAAGAATGATGGGACCAGTGCGTGTAAAGCGAGAGGGAAGATTCTGAGGGGGACTGATGGCAATGTGTCTTCCGGTAGTAATTTTTACAGTAAACGTTTGCCATGTTTTTCAATCACCTGTCTTCCTTTTGTGTTAAACAATTTTATGTACAACTAAAGGAGCAGAGCTTAAAGTCTCCAAACACAAAGTAGTGCAAAGGGATGGAAACATTTGTACTTAATTTTATCAGTACATATTATAAACAGAAGTATTTCTGGGTTATTGCAGTATCACACAATAACTCAGAAATATGTACAATTACTATGTGGCAATAAGTGTTTAATAATGTTTAATGAGATAAAAATATTAACCACTATGATTTGATCATTATACACCTGAATACATGCATCAAATTATCACTCATTAATTATAACAGTGATTAATTTAAAAGTTTTCTATAGATTGACACTCAGATTCACTTCTGTAACTGAACAGGACGTGTTCTGAATTCTTTGGAAGTCCCCCAAAATTTTCAAGGTTGATATCTCATGCAAACTTTCCAAGTTCCCTAACATTAGTAGAGTACGTGCACTCCCAAGGTTACTCACGAGGTGGGCTGATGGAGAAGAAATCAAAACTGTGGGGCATTTGATGGGCTTTTGCTGGATGATATTCTCACCTGGTGAAGAGTTAAGAAGTCCTTGGGACTCTCTGGTATTCCCAGAGTCTCGACAAAAAACGGATCTTAGTAATACAATAATCAAGTACACAGGTTGGGGGTGGGGGAACCAAGGTTCTCACTGTTGAAGTGAGTTATAGAGGGAAACAGGAAAGCATGGCCTCAACCTGGTGGCTGAGGTTGACTGCGATTACTCATGTTGACAGTCTTTCCCCTGAATAGGCTCTGACAAGGGGAAAGTCACGTCACAGCCACCTGCCGAGTTCCCCTCAAGGAGCAGAACCCCTGTCCAACAGGGAGAAAAGTAACTGTCAGTGTGTGGCCAGACAGGACAGGCTGGAACAGGGAGGAGCCCTGGAAAACAGCAGAGGCCACACCCACGACAGCGACTTCAATCCCCATCTCCTTCTGTCATCGCTGACTTTTCTCCTTTTTGGCCACGCCAGCAACTGTGCTTTTGATGGAGCCTTTGTCCTTATTCCCCTCGGCAGTAGCAGCCTCCCTGGCCCCTCTTCGTGCTCCGCCTGCCTCCCTGACCTCAGGATGCCCCCAGCCTCGTCGCCCAGCTCCTCCCTGAACCACATCCTCCTTCCAGACCTCGCCGGCTCGCTGGCCTGGGTGGTAGCAGAAGCACCGCCCTCTGGTGGCTTGGTTTTCCTCACTGGGGATTGAGCCCAGGGCTTCCTGCTGAGCTACATCCCCAGCCCTTTCTTGCCTTTCATTTTGCGACAGGGTCTCCATAACTCACAAAGTTACCCGGGCTGGGCTGAAACTTGGCATCTTCCTCAGCCACCGAGTGCCGGGGAGCCCAGATGTGCTTCACCACGGCGGGCTTGGGGCCAGCCTCTTTTGAAAGTACACACTTGCTGCTCCTTTGACTTTGTGAGCAATCCCTGTAGGAACTGCACCCCGCCCCACCTCCACCCCTAGCAAGCATCTTCCTGTTAACAAAACATTTCCTTCTCCTTTAGGGGGGTTTAAAAAGATCAGCAGAGCTAAACTAAAAGAGCACACAGGAGACCACTGACACAGCATGTGTCCTGAGCAAATGGCAGGTGGAGACCACCTTCCTGTCCAGTTCCATGGTGCTAGGGACACAGCGTGTCTGCCTTCTGGCTGCTCCCACATTTTTAAACTCATCATGGTCAGCAACTCCAGTAAGGCTTGCCTGAACCATGGCTGCACTGATTGCTTCCCCCGCCCTTTCACCAAAGAGGATGTCCCAAAGTGAGCAGTGGAGCCTGAAGGGGAACGATGCATTGAGACCCAGTCACGGGACAGCATGAAAAGAATGGTTCAGAAAAAGCCCAGTGCAGCACCACCAGGAAGTGTGCGTGCTGTAGTCTTCCTGTGGGGCATGACCAACACTGCATCTCCCAGAGCCCGCCATCCTGGACAGAGAAATGCAAACATTTGCTGACCAATGACATACCATAGATCCTTGGTGGAAATAAATGTGATGACTTGACAAATGTCATTCAAATGGCTGCAGACTTGGGCACAAAAATTTGCTGACACATGCCCTGCTCTTGTTTGACCCCTGTGCTAACACCCCCTGTGATCATGATGGTGTGGGAGCTCATAAACATCAGAGCCCTGCACCACCTAATGCTCAGTCAACTCCTCAATAATGAAATTGCCCTGAAACCTGACGCAGTGCTTGCAGTGCTGTGCTGGTGTTAGGTGAGCTCATGCTGAATACAGAAAACATTTGAAGTATGACAGTGCCCGTTTTGAGATTGAATCTCAAATGCACTTATCACTATTTTTGTCTACTTAATTTTATCACTGTGACCACAGCAGGAAGTCACCGGTTTTCCCATGAGACTGACAATGAAGCCCAGTAGGAAGAACCTTCCATTGAGCTCCCAGTGCCAGGGCTCCAGGAGTGAGTGGCTGTCCTGCCAGTGCTCCTGGGATGAAGCAGGAGATGTTTGTACGGTGCATCTGCAGATGTGTACCACAGAGCGGAGGTGGATGAAGTGACTTTAAATGGTGCTTTATGTTTTGATGCTTGTGTCTTCAAACAGTGCAAAACTAGTTGAAAGCATGTTTGGAGTTGCAACATGAGAGGAGCCAGTAAACAGGGGCTCCTGGTATCTCTTGCTTCCCCTCTCCCCCAGCCAGTTTAGTGACCGAGTGCTGCATGACTCAGCTTCCACCTGGGGGGAGCTCTCAGGCCTCGATGTGATCCACACGGGTCTTCGTGGGTTTGTAAAGTGGTGCTGTAGTTATCAACTTCTCTACGGATGCAATAAAATATTCCTTGTCAGTGTGAAAACAGAGTTAGATGTGGAAGAATATGTCTGTCCCTTGGTGACGAAAAGGATATTTCAACCTTTTTTTTTTTTGCCCTAATTTCATTTTGAATTTAAAGACTTTGCATAAAAAAAAATAGCATGTAAACATATGAAGCTATTTACATCAACGGAATGTAAACCATGGGCTTTAAGTGACGTACGCACAATCACTGATTCAGATTATTTGCTGTTCTTGAAAATTTTACAGGAAATTAACCCAAAAGATGGTTATATTTACATTTTCAGAATGTGGAAAGCCAATTAAACATGCAAACTAGTGTACTTTAGGAGTTTTGTTTAATCATTATGGTGGTTCTAAGTGGATAAATTACTTATAAAAATGAACACACTTTTTTAGTAAACTAATGGAAAGTAATAATTACAATAAATAATTATTCAATTTCAAGTATTAAAGCTTTATTTACATTGAGGGGGATTATTCCTTTTTTGTAATCATGTTAGAATTAAAACTGTTTTTAATTTTTATTTTTATAGCACGGTAATGGCAACTGTATTAACTGTGATGAGTGGTCTTTTTTAAAGATGGTAATTGCTTTTTAAAAAAATTTTTAATGTTGGGAAAGAATTTATATATTTTTCCAAACACAGTTATTTTCTTCACACTTCATGGATTTTTTAAAAAGAAATTTAAAGTTTTCTTTTTGTAAGAAGTTAGTGACAAGTATCATAGTTCTAGAAATGAACTTATTTTTTCACTTTAATAGTTATTAATTTTAAATATTTTTATCTCATTTGTAATAACTTACCATTTTAATTTGTAGTGTATGTGCTTTTATTTTTAAAAAAGGATAGCTGAATGGGGATAAAGCTTTTAGATAGATTCCAAAATATCTATAAAAACACTGCACTGACCTTTGGTCTCACGTCAAAAAATGGGGGCTGTGGAACAACTACTAATTTTTAAGAACAAATCACATATTTTGTAAATCTGCTTTTAGCTAGGATCTTCAATTGAAATATCAGAATTGTTTTAGAAAAAAATCTTAACTTGAGAACAGCAAAGGAAACCACCCCAGAATCTAATCTAGTTAGCTATTCAGACAATGCTTTATTGAAAGTGTACCACTAATGTATGCTTCCTTGTGAAATCTAACGCTAAACTGCTTTGTTGTGGAGCAAAGCATTTCCTCCAGAACTTTCAGTAAATTCTCTTGCTTCCAAAAACAATAAAACAAAACAAACAAACAAAAAAAAAAATAGGAGGCTTGCTCACAGGAAGAGTCTTGCACAAGAGTTTGCTGAGTTGACGCCTCTCTCTGAGTTCACACTGCACTGCAGCAGCGCTCTACCGTCCGGTTCATTCATAACGAGCCGAGGGTTACCTCGCTCATAGCGCTGGAGGTTGGGGAGTCCAAGGTGCAGGGGTCCAGCAAGGGCCCCTGGAGGAGGAGCTAGGCAGGGAGGACAGAGGGCATGGGCCAGTAGGAGGTCATGTCCACAGCTTCGAGCCCTGCTTAGAATCAGCTCCAATCCATCAATGAGACAGGGGCGCTGTCTCAAGGACCCAGGTCCCACTGCAGTGGCCCTGGGGCTTCAGCACGGACACAGGCTTTACGGGCACACATTGAAATCATAGCAAGTTTGTTACAGACGCTGGGTGCTGGACTGGGGAAAGGATTCGTGCTGTAATTTCGGGGGGGGGGTGTGGCCCGAGATGCTGTGACTCTCTCCAGAGAGTGCCAGCATGCTATGCTTAGGTCTCCAACCTTCTCCACTTACCGTGGTTCTGTCCAGTGAAACGGACTGAACTGCAGCATGGCAGAAGCCCTCGGAGACCCCCAGCAGTACCAGTTTCAAATCTGATTCGTGAGTTCTCTGCTGCTCCAAGCGAGCAGGGCAGTCAGACCTTTGGTAGCACCCATGGAGCAGAACGAAGCACGTGGCATAATAGAACACAGTTGGTCTTTGTCTCTGGCTCCTGGAACCCAGTTCCAAAAACCCTGGCGTTTCCTACAGTGATAGGAGAGCCCTTGCTTATCTAGAAAAAGCTCCCTCTGGACCACACCTGAGCTTTTGCCTAAGAGGTGACTCATGTGGGCCCCTCAGTGGTGTGTGGCATGGTGGAAATGCCAGGAACACCAGAGAGTCATGACAGAGGTGTGGGGCTTTCCGTCTCAACCCTGACCCCTGGGGCTGAGCCGCGGCCAACGAGCTAATTGATAGCATGAACACAATGATGAATCTTTAACAAGTTCTGGGAAGTGAGGCACGATGCCACAGCACAGTAGTGTAGAGACAGTGGCTGCCTTTGTGCGTCCAGGATCTCATGATGTTTCACTTTATAACAAGTCCAGCTGTTCTGGGAGCTGAGCTGGGGGAGCTGGTAGAGAAAAACAGAAACAAAAAACCAAGAGCTGGTGGTGACTTCAAAGGTCCTTTCTCTGTGAGGTGGGGACAGGAGACAGAAATGTAGAGACCAGTTACTATCAGGCCATCTCAGCCTAACTTTTCATACAGAATGAAGTGGGGGACTTTATTCTTATGCAGACTAAAACTAGACTGTGGGAAATCTGCTTAATTTCTTCTGATTTCTCAGAAGGTCAGCTAACAGCTGAGCTTCGGCTTGGTGTTGTGGGATTCTAACATGAATGGCTGTTGGTTTTGACATTTGTCTGGTCTGTGGCGTGCAGTGTCAGAGCACAGCCCACAGGAGAAACAGGCTGAGAACAGACTGTTAGGACACAGCGGGGGAAGCATCCTTTGCTCCACCTTGCCTGTGAAGGAAATGTCAGAAAGGCAGAGAAGGAGGCAGGGGAGGTTGCCTGTAGGCTCTCGGGGTGGGCGTCAAGGGGGAGCCTTGGGTGAGAAATAGGAGCCTGGCTTTGGGATCAGGTCTCAGAGCACTGCCACTGGACACTTTGGAATCAGGTCTCAGAGCACTGCCACTGGACACTGGGCTCATGCCCCGCTCACCACAAATCAGCTCTGCCAAACCACAAAGGTCACCACATTAAAGGGCCACAGATATTAGCCCAGCTACTGCCTGGTCAGCCTCAGGCTGATGTCACTTTTGTTATTAGTCATTGGGCCAAGGGTGACAGAGTTAAACTATCTGACGACTCTTCCTCAGCTTTTGTCTTTTAAAACCATCTCTTGGCCTTGACCTCTTGGAGTCTGCTGATAGCTACCATGGCCTGGGTATTCACGTTACAATGTTCTGCTGCTCCCAAATAAGTCATGATTATGCCTGGGGATGTGGTTCAGGGACGGATCACCCAAGCCCCTGGGTTCAGTCCCCAGTGCTCCCCTCTCTCCAGTCGTGACTCATGGAAGATCCTGTGTTTGATTGTTATTTAGACTGGCATGTTGGACACTTCCTCCAAATTCCTGTAGAATGACATAGGTCTCTGCGATACCTAACCTGGTCATCAACTCGAGTGACTTAAGAGATGCCAGGAGATTAGTAAAGCACGCACTGTATGTGTCACGGGGAGAGAATCTGAGGACTGCATCTGGTTCTCCTTGCTGGCCCTTCTGCTTTCTGCTTTCTGGATGCCAGGAGTTAAGCAGCTTCCCGCCGCCATGACATTCCAGCCTCACAGCCAGTTGAACACGGACGGAAACCTCTGAAAACGTAATCTCAAAGCCAACCTTTCCTCCTTTTAATTGTGTGTCAGGTATTTTGTCTTAGTGACGAAAAGCTGATTAATATACTCTCCACACAGATTTCTTCTCTGCCCCTTTCAGAGAGTTACCTTCTTTCAGTTACACAAATCCAGTTCCTCCTGGAGCATCACCTCTTCTCCCTCAGACCATGGCTCACACATCTAAGGGTTGTGCTAGAAACAGGCCAGGCCAGAGTGTGCAGGAGACCCCACCCCACCCTGATGGGGTGAGCATGTTATGATTCTGTTACTGCCAAGTCTTTCAGGGCCATATTGATGAAC